CGGGAGCTCCAGGATTAACGCCAGCGCTCCTTGCCGGCCGGCCCGCGGCCCCCCCGAGCCGCCGAGGGGCTGTGCCCCCCCCCGGCCACGGAGCCTCTGTCCTCTCCGGAGCAGCCGCTTATCTCCGGCTCTGTTGGTTTTTGGGCTCACGCAGCAAATGCGCCCGACCCGCCGTGATTTGCGTCCACAGCGCTTTATATATATATATATTTTTTTTAATTTAGTAACTCGGCTTGAATTGCGAATATAATAATGGCAGGCCTGTGGCTTTCCTCGGGTTGTTTCAGTCGAAACCTGTGTCCTCTGCCCTGATTTCCAGCCCTCCGCTAAGGCAGAGCAAGCATGCAGCAAGGTTCTCCATGACAAGAGGTGGCAATCGCTTCTTCCATATAAAAAAAAAAAAAAAAAGCAAAACAAACCCCACCATTTTTTTTGCGGTGAACTGCACGAGGATGTGTCACAAACGAGAGCGCATCGGGTCTCATCGAAGAGGATTGTATAGGATACTTATTCTGGAATAAGTAATTAGYGTGCAATTATGGCTAATGAGGCAAAACCCGGTGTGTAGTTTTGGTGGCCTTTGGAGCAGATGTGCTGGAKCTGCTTCAGGCAGATGTTTAGCTTGGAATGCCCTGCAGGGTTCATGATGGGTAGGGGCTCTGCTGTGGACAGGTTCTTGCTCCGTGGTGGGGAAAAATTGGTGCTGTGGAAGAGATTCTGGGCAAGAACTTGGCTTAGAAGTTGGAAAAAATGAATATTGACAGTAGTGCCCAGAGCTGGTCTTCTCCCGACAGGGAGATGTTTCTATTCTGCAACAGGATTAGGGAGAAATTTATTGGGTTTTGGAGSAATTGCATTTGTGTCCGAGCAAGTGCTCCAAATAAATCCAGTTTTGAGCATGATCAAAGCTGATAAGATATGTACCTAGTGTAGAGCTCTAGCTTTGAGCCTTGGCCTAAAATTTTGTTGGCTTTAAAACAACCTGAAAGGTTGTTTAAATACATGTTTAAATACATATGTTGTGTAAATACTTTAGCAGGTGGCTGATTAGCTTCTAGTTAAAAACCCAGCAGCTCTGGTTGATTATTCCTGCATTCTGTTCGTGATAAAAAATAGTTTCAGGCCTGGATTTTTAAGTGTTTACACTTGGTCATTTTGTTGGCTGGTGGGTTTATGGAAAGAGTTCAATGGTGGCAAAACCAAAAGATTTTGACTTCCCAGTTGAAGAATTCAGTGTTTCAGTTATTGGTGGGGAAAGATATTTTGGCGCAAACAAATCTTTTTTAGCTGGTCATATGCTCCTAGCAAGAAAATTACTGAATGCTGAGCCTCGACATCCTTGCTCAAGGTTGCTAATGATGTGTCAAGTGGAATTTATTGCTTGGTTTTACTTTTTGTTCTTAGAATTTTGTGTTAAAACTGACAGTTACACTGGGCTTAGTCTGGCTTTTCTAAAAGGAGCATCTGGCTGCAGTTCTGCTATGAGATTTATGGAAATCATGGTTTGGTTTCTTTAATAATAGCAAAAAAAAAAAAAGGAAGAAGCTTTTTTTTTTCTTGTAGCTGTGCATTTTGAACAGATAATTAATGAATGAAGGCTTCTGCCTGTGAAGTGCCATCCATGGCTTTGCTTGAAGGTTGATGTTGCTGCAGGAATTAAAGTTGAATTTTTTCAGTCACTTTGTGCAGACTTCTATTTGCAGGGCTGCAGTGGAATTGTTGCTCACCATTCCTGGCTGCTGGGAAAGAACCTCTTTATTCCTTACATACCTAGCCAGGGATTTAGCTCTCTAACCATGTGATGTTAGGGGAGAAAAAGAGAAAACCCAAAGCCCAAGTGAGCTGTTCAGTAAGGCATGGCAGGAGGACAGGGTGTTAGAGATACCAAGTCAGTTCAGGGCTAGCTGCCTGTCCAGCTAAAAGGGAAAGGCAGCCAGGAGTTGGGCAGCCCAGTGATTTKGGGATTTGGGAAGTGGAGGTGTCGATTCCTGCTGCAGCTCCAGAGAACACTCAGCAGCAGGTGCTCACCTGGGCTTTGGGAGCTGGGSAGTGAAAGGCATTGCAGGGAATCCAGGTGAGGTGCCTGTCTTCTGTGCTCTGCCCTTTCTCCTGCCCGTCTCTGAGGGAGGGTTCCTGCCTTGGTGAGCAGTGTGGACTGACACTTTTGGTCATGGATGCTATCCCAAGGCCTTGCAGCATCTGCTGGGTGCTGAAGGCAGACTGGGTGAGATGCTGGAGTGCCAAAATCCTTGGCTGGGTGGTGTCAGATGCTTTTCAAAGTGATCTTGATGTATGTACAGTACAGGACATTGTGCCTGAAATTCAGTTCCTGACGAGTTGGTTCAGAATTGTGTGTGTGCTGTGGGATTCCGGCAAAGGGAGAGAGCATCTTCCCAAAATCAGTGTAGAATATGAAAATAGGCCTATGTGTCTTTAAATACCACACTGATGCTGCTTTTCATCTAATCAGATGTTCTCTCTGAACAGCTTTTGTACACGTCTTGGAAAAAAATTAACTTAGAAGAAGAAAGGGTCTTAAAGGTGGAGACATGAAATCAGCTGTTTAATACTTCAGATATTTATTACTAATTTGCTAAYTAATTTCTGCAATACTGGATCCTTTTTGGTGCACATGGGTGAGAAGGAAAGTTTGGATTAATGGCTTTCTTCTCCCATGATTGCATTTCTTGCTGCTGCAAGCCCCAGAATGTTTTCTGAGGCACTCTGTTTTATTTCTGAAATTGTGCAGCTTGGTGATGCCCTTTTTGCTGCAGGGAACAGCAGAGAGAAAACACTTCCATGCAACAGTGCATGGATTGCCTGTGTCTTAAGAGCTCTGTGTGTAACTGAGTTTAGCAAATGGTTTATCTATTTGGGACTGAAGTGGAAAAAAATGGTGTCACTGCTTCTTGTGGTTGTCCTAGCTTTGGTTAAACTTTGTCTCGTGTCCCCAGGCCTTCTGATAGGGGTGAAAATGGGCAGCTAGGCTGAGCYCAGGGCTTGACTGAAGCATGTGGAGCTCGTGACCTACATAGTGGTACAAACTGCAGCAATATTCAGGCGAGATGAGATGTTGGGTGCAGTTTACACGTCTCACACGTCGTTTGTCTCATGGAATGAAAGGCAGAGAATGCTGGAATTGCAGGAGGAAGCTGCTTAGAATCTCTTGCTGCTTTATGCTATTTGCAGTCCTAAAGCTCGTTGCATTTTTAATGAAATTTTAAATTATGGGACTTGACTCAAAATGGCTCAGCTTCCAGGAAAAAAAAAGTGAATTAGTAGCATGAGGTCCATACCGTGTTTAAAAATAGAGTCTGAGTTGGAAATGCCATTTGTTTAAAAGTCTTGGTCTCATTTTAAAATTGAAGTTTGGTAGAGGTTTTGTARCAAGTTTGTCTCACACACAAGCACAGGGAGGGTTTAGAAGAAACTAGAAGAGACCAACTGGCAATGCATTTTATTGGTGGGAAAGTATTTCTTTGTTCTGAAGTAAACCATGTTACTTAGCAGTCTTTGGAGCCTGACAGACTCATTTTRCTTCTGGAGCCTGGGATGATGTTGGGTTTTGGACAAGATGAGTGCCAGTTTTGCTCTGAATTCATCTCAGAAGTCTGTTTGCACAGACAGGCACTCCAGCGGCCCTGCTGGCTGGGGACTCATCCGAGTTTCAGTTCTATGCTTGTTACAGGATGTGTTTGATCCCAGGAAAATTGCACTTACTGCAGCTTAGCWAGGGTAAAGGGTTTTGAATTGTCCAGATGGAGAAAGCAAGGTGGTGATTGCTGCAAGTGTGTTCATGCGTTTTCTCCTCTGGGGTTAGGCAKGGGCTGGGTCACTTACTGTTCTTCACAACCAAAAAGCCCCAAACTCTGTGACAT